TCATGCGATGGGTGGTGTGATTTACACTCATTTGTGTACAAGGTGTACAACATGGGTGAGAGAACACACCCCTGTGGAGCACCAGTATTAGTGTACTGGAGAGATGAAGTAGTGGAGTTCAGTTTAACCTGTTGTCCTCTGTTTGACAAAAAATCATAAATCCATAAGATAAGTCTAGGGTTGACATTGAGACTAGTTAATTTCTGGGCCAGAAGATGCGGTTGAATGGTATTAAAGGCACTCGAAAAATCTACAAAAAATATTCGTACATAGGCTCCTGCTTTCTCCAAGTGCTCATAAATACCATTCAACAATGTAAGCACTCCATCCTCTACACCTCTATGAGATCGGTAGGCAAACTGGTGGTCATCCATGGACTCATTAACCTGTGGCAATAATCTCTTCATTATTATTTTTTCAAGACACTTCATAGGTGCCGAGGTAAGGGCCACGGGACGCAGATCATTCATTTCTTTTGGGTGAGATTTTTTTGGAACGGGCACAATAACTGACCTCTTCCACAAAGTCGGAACTGACACATGACTTAACGATTTTTGAAACAATGTTTGATATGGGATTGCTAACTGTTCAGCACATACCTTCAGCACCTTACATGTGACTAAATCAGGCCCATTTGCTTTACGTGAGTTCAGTTTCGCAAAAAGAGATTTTACTTCATCAACTCCAATATGGATATTTTCATTGGAGGAGCTTTGCACTTGATCAATAACTTCATCCTTTTGAACACTGAAATCATGTTTATCAAACCTACTGTAAAAACAATTCAGATTGTGGGCATAATCAACTTCATCATCTACAGTGATTCTGTTTTTCTTTGGTTTATACCCTGTAATGGTTTGCAAACCCTGCCAAGTCTTCCTGGTGTCATTTGTTTGAAAATAACCTTCAATTTTGTTCTTATAAGCCAGTTTACAGTTTTTGATTTCTTGTTTTAGTCTTTTCTGAACCTCTTTCCGTTCCTCTCTGGTTCCAGAATGAAACACGATCTTTTTTTCATTTAACAATCCTTTAAGCTCCTTCGTGACCCATGGTTTATTGTTTGAGAAAATTTTCACTGTCTTTTTGGGAATCAGCAAGTCTTCACAGAAACGTACGTATTCAGATATGACATCGACAGCTTCATCTAGATCCTCTGAAACATCAATGAACACGTTCCAGTCTGTACAGGCAAAACACCCTCGCAGCGTCTCCACAGCTTGACTTGTCCAGGACTTGACTTGGACTTTCTTCACAGGTTCCCTCTGTACTCGGGGTCGATACACAGGAATTAGCTGGATCATGTTGTGGTCAGAGTTGCCCAGACCGGGTAATGATCTTGCTCGGTATGCCCCGGGAATGTTGCTGTAGCATAGGTCCAAACAGGCGTCATTACGGGTGGGACAGTTAACATGCTGGTGGTATGTGGGCATACAGTCCGCTAAACTGCATGAATTGAAGTCGCCAATAATAATTTTGGCAGCATCAGGTGAGACCGTCTCAGCTTCAGAGACAAGGTCTTGAATTGTATTGGCTGCTATCTTGGCGTCTGCCGAGGGGGGAATGTACACCACGAACAGCATAACTTGATTTATTTCCCGTGGCAGATAAAATGGCCGGAGATAAATACTAAGGAGTTCAATATCCTTCGTACAAATACTTTGCTTGACGGTGATGTGTGCTGACGAGCAATATTTTTCGTTAATAAATGCACAAACCCCTCCACCTTTAGTTTTTCCTGAATCCTTGTTTCTGTCCATCCTCAACAGCGTGTATCCATCCAAGTCAACCAAGGTGTCTGGGTCATTCTCAGTTAGCCACGTTTCAGTCAAACATATCAAACTGGAATCACGGTATTCTGAGAGGAACTGTTGGCAGGCTCTGAGTTCATCAGTTTTGTTTCGTATGCTCTGAACATTGCCGTGGATAATTGTTGGAAGTGGAGTTCTAAATCTCGATTTTTTAAGTCTGTTCCTCACACCACCTTTACTCCCACGTTTACGCACTTTGGGTGTGTCCATGCATACCTCGGGTATTACGTAATCAGGCTGTGTCGAGAAAGCACGGCGACTCAACAGGAATTCACGACTGTACGATATCAATGGCGGAGGCTCACCTTCACTGTTGGTATAGGCTGCACCCAGAATTCGTCTAGCACTCCATGATAAAGTTAAAAATGCAACAAGAAACACCAACACAGGGAAACAGGGTACTTGACACATCATCTTACTTGAGAAAAGTCACAAACGTCACTAAAACAAGGCATAAAAACTGGATTTAAAAACTGACAAATACGGAGACAAGAAAAAGGCCGTGTCGCCACATGAGCAGCGCCACCAGCAGGTGGCAACTATAGCGTACAACTAGCTAATATATATTGAGCGTTTCAAGTTTGTTAACAAATCTCGCATAGTAAATATTGATACAGACGGACATCCCTTTGGTCACAATCATGGCTGTATTTTATTAGACTACCAGGGCGGTTCTGCAGTTCGTGCAACAAAATCACAAGATATATTTACCATTTTCAAATCATACGAAAGCCCATAAGGGAAAAATACGTAAGACTCATTTTGTAGGATCCAGTCACATACACAATACTCCGTTGTATGTTCATTTTCTAATGTCCTCGATCCTGCCTCTTGGGGATACAAAAAGTTCCAACAGCTTTATTACATACTCTGGAAATTATTAAACTAAATATAGTTCCAAATACTGGATGCACAAATAAATCTTATACACGAAACGTTTAACGTGATGTCATTAACCCTCCATGCATTAACGCTAAAAGAGACGATTTAAACGTCTAACAAGCGGGCCGAACTTCGCACCAAATCTCTGCTGTCGCATCTTGCATACGTCCATTATTTGAACATCTATACAGTTTCAAATTCAATATTACACAATAATAAGCTGTTGTGGAGAGCATAGGCCTACTCCGAAACAGCTCGTTTTCGTTATTTTTTGCATTTTTTTTGCTGTTTCGGAGTATATATTAATTTCTTTAAAAAAAACAACACTATGTTACATAATGGTACATTTCAACTTAAAGTTGCTCAACTGTTCAAATCATCAGCCAACAGAGGATTTTGTTAACACTGATTATGCTAATGGCTTTCGCCCGCTGATTGACAAACCCACTCGCATATCAGTCTTCATAGCGCTTTTCTTATTGACAACATTCTCATTATAGCACAATACTAATATCTTCACCGGTATCCTCTATGGTGATATTTCAGATCACTTGCCCCTTTTTCAAATCACTCCCTCTCTCTTCCAGCCTGAACCGTCTCTCATGTCTACCTACACATCCAGGAACATAAATAAAACTTCTTTAAATACTTTTGCATGTGACTTGGCTTCCACCGACTGGAGTGCTTTTTACAATTCAGTGTGTGGCAGTTCGTACACACAAAAGAGACCCTATTGTTGACAATCATTCGTCCATGAAAACAATCCAACAGTAAGAAGCATTTGCTACCTGTTGTCCAGTAAATGCTGAACAGCAAAGGAATTTTTTTATTCATACGGAATCAAGCATATGCTTTTCCTTAATGCTTGTACTCCAAAGTAAATGCTTTTACTTTTTGCTTAAACTTCGCAGCATTTGCTAGTTTTTATACATGCGACCTAATGTGTCTGGCTTAAATAAAACTTAATAAAAAATAAAGCCTCCACAGAGATTTTGCTAGGTAGAATAATTGAGGATCACAAATTGGTCATGCACTCCGCGAAATAAGCATTGATAAGGTTTAGTGTTAACCAGTAACCACTGACAATATAGCTGAATTTCAGTAGGTACAAAATAGGCGAGTAACGTTTCATTACAAGGGCATACACGTAAGGAATGCATAATACTTCTAATTTTAGGATGTTATTGTCTAAATTGTCCCAATCAGTGAAGTGAATGCAATGTGAAATGAAAACAACGATCTTCCAAATCGAATGTGTTTCATCAGACAATCATCCTTCTTGTTACTAGCCAATGTATCGGAAGGCATGTGAATGAAGAAAAACTGTGCAACAATTATTTCACCAATCAGAGGGCAGGGGCGGACCCCCCTCCCCTTTTACAATTTTTTCGATGTTCAACGCCCTTTTTAAAAAAACGCGCTTAAAGCCTTTCTTGGTTGTTCGGCTGATGTCTTGTGGTCATTTCGACTCACATTCGACTCAAATTCCATAAAATGGCACGAAGCTTAAGGCTCATTTATAATCACAAAAACTACCAGCTAATCAGTAAGTTTCAGTTAGCATGCACTACATCTAAAGTATGACTAATAGACTAATAAACTGCCTCAGTTTAAAGCAGTAAAATTCCAATGTTTATTGCATAACAATAACACTCTTAAAAACTACAGTGGAAACATTGAAGAGAAAACAAAGGAATATAGCTTGCAATTTACTGGTAGGTGTTGAATAAATTTACAGTACTATGTCATCTAATTTCACCTTTTCCGAATAACATATTCTTTATATACGATTTTCTTCCAATAACCACGCCATGAACATAAACAGATGAGTTATGAAAATGGCTTACTGCATAGGGGCATGGGAACATAATCAAAGGTCCAGACCACATTCTTTTCATTTTTGTCTTTCAAAACAACTGAGTGAAATTTTCCGAACAGCTGAAATTTGCTAGACACAAGGACAATTTATTACAATGAAATTTAAAAAAGTAAAAAAGTAAACCGATACTGCATTATTCTCCAAAGCTACAATGCAGTAATTTCGCTTTATATCTAGAAATGCGGACAACGTAAATAATATGAGCGAGTTATATATTCCTTAAACCCGTGCGGGAGTGGGGGGGGGGGAGAAACAAACCATTGTTATTGTAGTTAAGATCGCATAATCCCACTTATATGTGTGCATGGATGTAGAAAATATTATTTTTCAGGCAGAACGCATATAATTATAGTAAATTTCGTCTAGGATTGTTATGCTACGGATACAAGGAAGCGTTGGTCAATGACGTCACCAAACTAACTGACAGTGTGTCCATCTATTGTGCATGTGGTCCTCTGAAGAGTTGCCTGGCAAGCGTTGTCAGTTTGGTGACTCAAAGTGACGATCCTTGCCATGCTCCTCTTCACCAATAATGGTGAACAATGATCTCTGGTATTTGGATGCTCCAAAACCCCTCCTTATCCATGTCAAAGTACTGAACAAATGCAAGTTTGGTCTCGCTCATCCACGCTGCTGAATAGACATCATTAACCTCATCGTCACACATCATACCTCTCAACGGGTTGATCAACCGGAAACCAGCATCAGGGTCGTTAATGCTCCACAGGTACATCGGGCCTCCACCTACCTCCGCAGACGCAATAAATTTATTGCCAAGGACACAACGGATGCAAAGGTTGTACTCTTCAGCAAAATCATACGACTTGGTGTCTCCAATGAATTTGCCATCGAGATTGAACAATCTCACATTTGAGTCCTCCGATGTGGCAAAGAGAAATTCGCCGTTAAACTCAAAGGAGAACGATTCATCATATGGGTCCAAATCTTCAAAGTCTACACCAGGCACGTCAAAGTGTCTGATGCACTCCCCCGATTCAACGTTCCATACCTTGATGACGTTTCCACGATTGGCACTCATCACGATGCCATCCCCAAGGTGACAGGAAATCATGTCATTGGCATCACTGACAATCGTCTGCTTACAGACACCACTCTGTGCATCCCATAAGCGAATCTTACGGTCGCTGTAAGCACCTGCAACTGTCTTGTCAAGATAGTCCACGTAAACCAGTCGGACGTCATCGGAGGTGCTCTCAAAGACGAAACGAGATGTACCGTCTTTAGCATTCCAGACCCGTATATCACTGTCAGCACGTACCTCCCTATCCCTGTCTGACTTCCCCGCAATACTCACGATAGTGTCACCATCAAAGAAGAGACAAAACACCTCCAAACGATGCCCCGACATCGCTTGCAGCTGCTCCCCAGTCACGGCACAGTACATACGAATCTTACCATCAATGCATCCTGCAGCTATGATGCCATTCTTCATTTTCAGGGCCTTTTGTCCTTTACTGACGTCCACTTTGATGAAATGTCGACGTTTTCCGCTGGTGATATCCCAGATATGCAAAGTATCATTCGAGAGAGCACCGGCAAGACTATTCCCGTCACAAGCTAGGCTGCGTAATGTCAACTCGGGTTCAGAGCCGACATATTCTTTGTTTCCCTCGTAGCCAGCTGAGCCAAAATGAAACGAGACAACGCGATACCGATTGTTCTTCCAATTTCCTTCAAGATGTCGTGCCTTCATGTATATCTCCTTCCATCTACATGTATTTACCAACCCTGGCCAGTTTAAACCAGAGACAACCGAATCAAAGGCAAAGGTGACACCGTCACCAACGCCTCCATCCCCGCCATGTTGAGGTGACGAAGGTATGAACGGGGGTTCAACACAAAGATCTACGACTGCATCAAACTTCTCCCATCGCTTCTCTCGACAAAGAGGGCGCCATAGAGCATCGTGATTGGCGGCCTCTCTCCATGATCGATTACATAATGCCACGCGACACAGGTCCTCAGCTGAAAGATGTTGAAGTACGAGAACCTTCAACTCATTCGGCAGGTTAGAAAAAGGGTCTTTTGTCGAAACTGACAGCGCCATCGCTGAAAAATACAAGAAAAAACATTTCAAGGGTTGGACTAGCATTGATTTGGGGTCCACATCTCTCCTTCCCCACCCCTCTTTTCGAATTTGCAACGGCCAGCCGCTTTTGGTCGCCGGTCCTTTGGCCCATTTTTAAAACTGTTCTGTCGCTGCTGCACTGGTTGTTTCTTGAGCCAACATTCTCCTAGCTATTTAAAAATAGATTCCTTTGAATAGACATAAATACCGTCTATGTAAATGTACATCTCCTTTTATGCCCACGTCATATTGTATCATTCTCCTGTCTATACCTCTGTAAAACCAAAGATTGTTAAACAAAAAAAAGTAGAACAGGAATTACATGCCTAGAGATCATGATGGGGAAGGGCGCCTCGCATGGTAGGTAGGTAAAAAGAAGATTTGCTCCATGCACCCATCGTGATTACTTCGTTGTGCACAGTCGCTGAACTATTTTATTCTCTTTTTTTGGCAAAATCATACAGATATCTAACAGTTTAAAGCAGTTTATTCTCTGATTACTAGCACCACTCATGTGCTTCACAGGGAAAAACGTAAAAGTGGCTGAAACATTTTTGACAGTTTACAATATTATGCTTATGAGCTTACTGTGCAGGAACATGTGTAGGTTCAGAGATGGCCTGAACAATTTCCCCCTCTCTTTCCACTGGGTATCATGTGTATTACTGTTTATGACTCATTCTCAACAAGACTTTTATTTTTAAGCAACCTATTTTTTACTAAATTGTTTAAACTAGTGCAGGGCCAGTCGAAAATGTGCGTGTTCGGCAGGGGCAGTTCAGAACTGCAGCTCGTGTAACAACGCACATTATTCAATCGTGTGAACGCACACTCACAAGTTAAAACGCACAAAAAGTCGTCACCCCCTGGCACTGATATTTAACCCTACTGGACAATATGGTACCGCCCAACAACTGTAGGGCGTAGTTGTAGGGCGATACCATATTGTATTAGAGTTACTCAGTCGACCGCCTACATACAGTGCAGTGATGGTTGCTCAGTTGACTACAAAATGCATGTGCCTGTGCATGCCACTCACGTAAATGTACGTGCTATCGCCCTACAATGTGCCCGTCCTTTTTGCACTGCTTGCGTCATATGAAGCACGCGCGCTTTAGCTCGAACATGACGTAAACAATTGAAAAGAACCCCATGATGTGCCCGTCCTTTTTTTCCATTGTTGCGTCATATTAAGCCCGCGCGCTTTAGCTCAAACATGACGTAAACAATTGAAAAGAACGGCAGTGCGTGGTGCTATGTTCTAAGCTGCCACGTTTGCCTCCGAAAATACCGCTTTTTTGCTGTCTAAAATGTGCTTGTTTGGGAAGCGCAAATTGCCTGCCGCAGGTATTGGTTGCATGCTTGCAGTTTTTGAGAACTGCTCGTGCAAACAACGGACGCGATTCATTGGTGTTGTTTTCACAGGTTGAACGCACACTCGTCCTGCAGTAAGGTCGCTCAGTCGACTGCAAAAATAATGTGCCCGTGCAGCCACCACGTAGGTGTACAAACGGTAACATGGTACGCAATGCTATACATTCACCCATACTGGACAATAGTATCGCCCTACAATGCCCGTGCGTGTGCAATAAAGTTATGGCGCGTCACGGTGCCCGAGTCTTTTTTGCATTGTTGGCGTCATATTGAGCACGCGCGCTTTAGCTTAACATGACGTAAACAATTGAAAAGAACGACAGTGCGTGGTGTTATGTTCTAAGCTGTACTGCCACGCTAGGCTTCAGAAAATACTGCTTTTTTGCAGCTTTTTCGAGAACCGCTCGTCCAAACCACTTCAAACTCGGCACTGCACATTCTGCTGTCCCGAGCAACGCACCCGCCGGTTCTGGAGATAATCGGCGGACAGACAGACAGACGGACAGACAGACAGACAGAGATTCCTTGAATTATAGTATAGACTAGTGCAGGGCCAGTCGAAAATGTGCGTGTTCGGAAGGGGCAGTTGAGAACTGCAGCTCGTGCAAACAACGCACATTATTCAACGGTGTGAACGCACACTCGCAAGTTAAACTCACAAAATGTCGTCAACCCCCCCCCCCCCGGCACATACAGTGCAGTGATGGTTGCTCAGTTGAGTACAAAATGCATGTGCCCGTGCATGCCACTCACGTATATGTACGTACGAAGACATGGTGTGCAGTGCTATCGCCCTACAATGTGCCCGTCATTTTTGCAGGGCCCATCAAAAAAATGCACCTGTTCGTTAGGGGCATTTTTAAGATGCTCATATCATGCAAACAACGCACACGATTCAATTGTGTTGTTTTCACAGGTTAAACTCACACTCATAGGTTGAGCGCACTTTGTACATGTCGCCAGGCCATCCCCGGCACTGATAGTTATTTAAATTATTAATGACTTTATCTTTGCTTTTTTTTTAATTATTGTTTTTTTAGTGTACAGCGCTACAGTTGTTACATTTGTTTAACAACAACAGGTATTTGTTTTTGTACATTCTCCTGATGACGAACAGAGCATACTGTTCGAAACGACGAGTTAATCCAACAGGTTCTCCTCAGAAACCACACATACTACCGCAGACCTCTCATTTATTAACAACAGATATTTGATGCACACACTGTTCGATCACGGCCATGCAAATGATACTTTCATTTCCTTTTATATAACGGACATACAGATCCTTGTCATTTGATGGGTGGAACTCACATCACGTGACATTCGTCATTGCATCCATTCACGCCTGGGCTCAAAAAGTTCCATTCGCTCATGGAAAATACAGTCAGGATCATTCTAGACTTGACTCAAGTCGGAATTGCCTTAAGTCGGTATCTTAAAAAAAAAAGTAGCGAACATCACTTAGTTTACGTCTTTCCAGATGCCCGACAAGGTACACTTCAGCGCGCGTTCCACTTCAGTGCCGTATAACAATGCGCACACACTGTATGTACATCTTGCATCTTGCATCTTGCATCTTGCATTAGAGTACTCTCCTAAAAGCATTGCTGCTGTCCTGGAGAGGGTGAGTTGCGATTCCATGTGTGCTCTTTGTGTGTGCTGTAAGGGTGCTTATCGGATGGTGGTATTGTCAATTTGTCCTGAGAGATACAACTGGTAGCTCCATCCCTCTTATAGTTGGGAGAGCTTCTGTCTGGAACTCTTTCAAAGTGGTCGCAGTAACCGCAGCCACTGGTAGCCTGTTCAAAATCCGAATAGCTCTTGGGAAAGGGCTATAGAGGTAGCAGTCAACTCTGGTGAGTGGTTGCCTGTAGATGAGGTTATGTTGATTGGTCTGGCTGTGTCGGCTTGATCGTGTGCTATGGACGATGTTCGGCGGAGTAGTTATATTTACTTGGCCATGTTGAATTTTGTAGAGGAGTTCAACCTGATGGAGGAGACGTCTGTCATGTAGGGTGTCCCATCCCAGTGATGTCAGCATGTCAGACACACTCGATTCCTGGTGGTAGTCCTTCATGACAAAACGTGCCGCTTGGCGTTGGACACTCTCAACTATTCTGATGTTGCGGACACTCTCAACAATTCTGATGTTGCGGATTGTGTATGGGTTCCATGCACTTGTGGCAAATTCAAGTTGTGGTCTTACTAGAGTGTTACATGCTGTCTCCTTGACCTCCCTGCTGCATTTTCCAAGGGTGCGTCTGATCAGCCCCAGCGATCTTGAAGCCTTGGCTCTGACTGCTTCTGCCTGAGTGTTCCAGCTTAGGTTATCAGCGATGGTGACTCCAAGGTATTTGCATTTCTTCTCATGCGGGATGGCCTGGCCAGAGATTGTAAAGGTGTGTTCAAGCTTTTTCTTCTTCAGGGTCATGCAGAGGTGGCAGCATTTTGTGATGTTGAAACTCATGTCCCATCTCTGAGCCCATTCAAAGACCGCCTGGAGATCCGCTTGGAGAGTCTCAAGATCTCTACGAGACTTGATGCACCTGTAGATTGCACTATCATCAGCAAAAAGCCTCATTGTTGACAGAACACCTTCACTGATGTCATTGATGTACAAAAGAAACAGGGCCAAGTACAGAGCCTTGGGGGACTCCAGATATGACATCTGCAGGTGCAGACAGGGTACCATTGACTGCAACTTGCTGGGTCCTACCACTCAAGAAACCTTGGATCTATGCTTTGGTTCTGCCTATGATGCCGTAGTATTCAAGCTTGTGCAACAACTTGCGATGAGCCACTCTGTCAAAGGCCTTGCTAAAGTCTAGAAACAAGACGTCCGTCTGATGTTTGTTGTTGATATTAAAGGCCCAGTCATCAACGGCTTGTATGAGTTGTGTTTCGCACGACAATTTCTCACGGAAACCATGTTGGTTGTCGATGATGATGTTATTTGCAGCAAGGTACTTAGCCATGTGGCTCAGGACTATGTGCTCCATGATTTTACAACATATGCATGTCAAGGAAACAGGGCGATAATTTGCTGGATCACTCTTGCTGCCCTTCTTGTAGATACCTACAACACGAGCATTACGCCAATCAGATGGTAGCTCACCAGTAGAGTAAGACTGCTGGAAGATGTGAGTTAGAATGGGTGCAATTTCATCTGCGTATTCATGGAGCATACGAGCCGGGATCTTATAAGGACCACTAGCCTTGTTGGTTTTTAGCTGTTTCAGCTGTTTCAGCACTCCACTTTGCCTAACTGTTAGATCCTCTATTGGGATATAGGATGACGGACCTTTGTCTGGGAGATCATCAGAGTCACTCTCATGGGTGAAGACAGAGGAGAACTGATCGTTAAGGCCTGTAGCCTTCTCCATATCTGAAGCATAGGTTTTATCAGCCACCCTGAGAGTGGGGATTCCAAGTGATTCCCTCTTCTGTGACCTTATGAAAGACCAGAACTTCTTTCCATCTGTTTTGAGGCTGCTTCCTATGACGCTGTTCATGTAGATGTTATGTGCATTTTTCTGCATCCTCTGAACTTCATTTCGCTTGGATTTGTACCTGACCCATGTTTCTGGGTTCATGTTTTTTCTTGTTTTCTTGTACAACCTGTCTCGTTTATTCATCTGTTTGATGATTTTCTGGGTGATGTAGGGGTGGCTAGGTTTCCCTTTGTCCGTAAAATGGGGAATAAGCGTCATGGCATCGGTGATGGCTTGAATGAAGAATTTCCAGTTGTCCTCTATTGGTGAGTCGTCTGGGACTCCAGAGAAGTATTCCCTTGATGCATCTGCCAGTTTCTTCTTGACTAAGTGTTGATCTGCTTTATCATACTTATACATTGTACAGCACGCGTATTAAACGTACATGTGTGTGCATGTATTGCAGAGCATGTGCATACATGTGGTGCAAAAGTTTGCAATTCCGACTTAATCAATCTGCCATCAGCACCCCCCCCCCCCCTCGCGTGCACGCGCCTGTATTCATCGATGCATATGCAACACCATCTCTATGCATATGCAGCAACCTCGCTTGACCAATCAAAGTAACCAATTTTTGAAGACTCGTTTATTATTTTCAGTAGGTATGGAAGGCTGGATAACAACTGCAAACGTTTTAAAAACGTAAACTTAATCTGTAGATTTCAAACACATTATATTTGGATGATAATGCTAAGATCAGCTGCTCTTGGATTGAATTTATAAAGAACACGACATTCAAATGTTATTCGAAACAAAAGGGAATTTTTATTGGCATTAACCACTGATCTCTATATAAAGACTGGATAGCTAATAAAGAGCCGCACAATGTACGAATTTGACGCCATATTGGTGAGACCGGCTGGTGATCTACAAAGGACAAGTTGCCGTCTTTATAGACAGCGTGATTTCTTTTGTAATGTCGCGGTTCACTTGACTTATATTTTGGCCATCACCACTGACCAACTGACTAAGGTTTACTACAATTTTTCTTACGTCGTGGTTACTTTTATAATGCCGCAAATCACTTATTTCGGCGTTTTTGAAATAATAATCACTACGGAAATGTGTCCTTTTTAGAACATCATAATATGTGTACGTGACCAAAATGCGCGTCAACTGTTGATACAACGCGCGCGTATTTACGCGTAGAACGTTCGTATATACGCGGCCATCTTCGTGAGACCGGGGGCGAATTGGTCAATATGCAAAGTCTACTGTGTGAATGTTGTATGCATATCCGCTATCCAGTCTTTATATAGAGATCAGTGGGTTTAACCTGTAAAAATATTGAGATCCATTGATACCGCTTCGTATTGTGCGTACCCAGAGCCGTTTCAAAGCATTCGAACGTACGCGTGCGTGTATCTGTTTCTACTCCTCACCATGGGATGCGTGTGCGTTCTCCGCGAAACTTTGGCTGCGCGAATACACACAGACAAGGCTAATTGCGTGTTAGGAATAATATCAAAACAACCTGCGCGCGGTTTTAAGAATAAAAACGCTCATTACCTGAAATATTGTGATATGATTGGCTTCTACCGAAATCGGTAGAAGCCAATCACATCGAGAATTAATTTCTATAGACTGTGTACAAACGTGGAACAAACCAGCGCGTACGCTTGGCAGATTGACCAAGTCTCAGCCTCGACTCCGGGGGCGCGTGCTCGTTCCTTACACTAACCCCTGGCTGTGATGATGACGTAAATGACGCTGAATGGCTATTCACAGCGTACTGCGCGCGCATTTCGAAGATTGCACGCCGGGCGCGCAAGTAATGCGCTCGCGTGCTTTGCACGTAACGTCACGTACAAATATTCAAAACTGCGCGATGCCTGTACGTTATGGATTATGGCAGCCTGTTTTTTTTTGCTAAAAAAAAAACCTGTATCTGCGGTTGTACTGGGACGAAAGCGGTACGCATCTGTAATACAAATTTTTGCTAAAATACACAATGTCCAAACCTTATGTTTGAAAGCATTGATTCTTCAATAACACAACTTTCAACATTTTAAAGATGGCATCGGCGCGTAAATCGGATAAACTGCAGCCCTAATTATAATGTACCGTATTTTGGCACATTTAAATCACACAATTCCAGGGGTTACGATCGCGCAAGGCATGATGGGAAACAACATGGCGCAGCAAGATCGTACTCACGGGGCACGAGGTTGACCAAGTCTGGGTTGCTGTCTTTGTGTATATGGAAATCAATGGTCAGCCTCGACTCCAGGGGCGCGTGCGCGTTCCTTCGTTCCTTACACTAACCCCTGGCCGTGATGATGACGTAAGTGACGCTGACTGGCTATTCAGAGCGTACTGCGTGGGCATTTCGTAGATTGCACGCCGGGCGCGCAAGTAATGCGCTTGCGTGCTTTGCACGTCTCGTCACGTAGGAATATTTGTTTGAAAGCATTGATTTTTCAAAAACACAACTTTCAACATTTTAACCCTAAAGGGGCCGGGTTATTTTGAGGGCGCGCGTTATGTATTGTAAGGACGTATGCGATGCGCTGTGAGTAGATTTACTTTATAGGCACAGACCGAGCGCAACCCAGACTTGGCCTAGTCTAGGATCATTCTGTTCCATGATGCAATATTTGGTGTGCAAAATGCTGCTGGTGTGCGCGTTCAGCGTTGCGCGTAGAGCGTATTGTTCCAAAGAGCCACTGCATTTTCGTGAAGGGGTGTATGGTTTGGAAGAAATAAATTAATTTTCCCCCAATTTCGTATTGAAAATTTGAAATAAGGTTCAAAAATGGAATGACAATGATCTAAATGTCAGTTATATATAACAAATATTTAGTGGCTTCAAATTGTGAAATGGGAGGGATATTATCGCTCTGTAAAATCTGGACATTTCCAGTTCACTTGGCTTCTCCTCATGAAATGGAGAAGTCCAGATTTCACCTTGCGATAATGTTTCTCCCATTCTACTCTCAGCCACTCAATATTTGTATAATATACCCCCTCCCTTTAAGGTACGCATAAGAAAATGCCTTTCACAAAACAGCTGAAATGTAAACACTCATTCTGTTTTGAAATTATGGTGACCGTGGTGGTAAATATTATAAGGAGGCTTTCATTTCGTTTCATTTCATTTCACGAATCAGATGTGCTTTTTGTATAGCTTTGGACACGTTTAGTATTAAAAAGGATCAGTGCATTGTGTGAAATACCAAGCGATATTTAGAGCGTCCCAGACGCGGTTCTAGAACCAATATTTTTTTTTTTTTGGGGGGGGGGGGCTAGCACGGTGGATCCAGAATTTTTTTCAGGGAGGCGTGCTGAAATGTTGACAAGTTATTTTTTCCAGACACTTAGGCCTCCGAAAATCAATAGGTGGGGTGGGGTGGTGGGTGGGGGGTGGGGGGGGGGGGGGCTCGTGCCATATTTTCAATGGGCAGCGCCAATAAAATCCTAAAATCATTCACACTATAGCAAGGGCGGATCCAGAACACAATTTTTTTTGGGGGGGCCAAAAAAAAATTGGTCCTCCAAGAAAGTGGGTCCAAAAAATTACGGCGTGTGGTTCAGGGCCCGCTTAATAATTTTTGGATTCTAGATGCTCTGTGGTACGATCTGAGGCAATTTCTGACCACTTTAACCAATTGTTTTTGAGGAAAAGATGGTGGTGTACTCATTGCCTGCCTTTATTGCGATGTCACATAAAAAAAAATGGTTTCGTTTTTTTTGGGGAGGGGGGCATGGCCCCCTTTGGTCCCCCCCCCCCTCCTGGATCCGCCCTTGCAATATGTTAACTAATGTACCCTTGTCACGGCTATTTCTTCTTTAGGGGGAGACCGTTCGCATGTACATCACAATCCTTCTTTTTGCTAATGCATTTCTTTTTTTTTACGGAATTTATTTGGGGCTAGACAAAATTTGGGGGGGGGGGGGCTACAGCCCCCCCCCCCCCCAGCCCCCCCCCCGTAGAACCGCGCCTGGAGCGTCCTGACCCCTTGAATATGAAAAATAGCGTCTAATAATCGGATTTTTTTTTTTTATTACATTTAGTTCATTGCTTTCTGCAGAAAATCACCCTCGGAAAGGCCTTTATAATGCTATATACTAACATCTTGATTTACGGAAACCGAAAAATAGCATGACGTGAATGAGAAATATCGTGCTAGAAACTGACCTCTCACTTCTAAAATCTCAAATAAACATGTGGACTAGTGGAACTCGGTGTACTCGTACAGAGATGAACATTTATGAAATAATTTTGTGGCGGTAATTGATAAAAACTGAAACTTAAACATGAGAATACAATCACTTTTGACAAATGCACTTTTTGTTCAAAATACTTGAAAACAAAAAAACGAGTTCTCATGTACAAACAAATGAACGTTGATAAGAATGGTATTCAAGTCAGCTTGGATTGGTGTCTGAACAGTCGTACAACAGGACTGTTCCATTAACCTATAACGCCACTTACCGTCTTGCCTTGCAGTTTTATGCGTACGATACGTACAGATAGTTCCGTTTGTCTGTAACAGCCAACGCCATGCAATACAAGTTCAACCAGTGTGTGTGTATGATATGAACATGGCCAATGCTGCACCTTGTTCAAAGGTCGAATTCTACTATACGGAGGCCTGTGTGGAACGATAATACCCAGCCGTGTGGTTGCGAAGGGCGATTTCTAAAGGTAAAGTAACACTGTATTTTAAATGAAAACTACATGCACACAGATATGTTGACGTTCGCGGGCGAAATCTTTGAAAACTGATTTCTACCGTTTAGAAGATCGTATCTTCATTCAACTTCCAGGGTTCATTTACATTATGATGATCCAACTGTGTATTAAAAATCGTTGTGATAGGTTCATTACTTCAGTTTCGTTGAAATTGGAAATGTAGGACTGGCTACGTGCATTTTTGAAAGTTATAATATGTGGCGTTTACAATATCTGTCAATCTTTTTAAGCCTCCCTAATAATATATAAATTAGGTTCCTATAAATTAAGACGTGAAGTAAAAAGTCTCCTTCACGAGTTATTGATTCCAATTCGTCAATACCGAGACCCACACCAAGTCACTCCGATGGCGCTAATAAATATTACAATGTAAGTATTGCCGGGCCAAAATAGGTCACCCAAAGCGCCTACGTCGCTAAATGAGTTTTGCTTAAGAAGGCGAAGCGTCTGTGGTTGTCAGGAAAAGCTAATCCGATGACGTACTTATAAGCGCTGTAACAGAGCAGCGAAATTCGTAACCCCCCCCCCCCAAACATGGCATTTTGAACGCTGTGTTTCTCAAAAAGTATGCTCAGTATGAATAAAATGTTAAATTATAACGGAAGAAGAAATTCTAAACTTCATGCCAGTGAAAAAAAATCGCCGCCATTGATGCCGAAACGTCAATACTGGTTACTGGTAAAGATGACCTTCAAGTCGGGAAGAAATATTTCGAAAACTTCCCCAAATAATATATTTATCACAATTTCTAGGAATCTAATCAAGCTGTTATTTCACGAGTAGTTGAACACTCCAACCATTTTGAATTTCAGTTAAATCTGTTGTTGCAAACGCTAGTGTTACACCTTGAACTATCTGCAAGGAAAATCTCGACGAGTAGTTTTTTGACTACCCAACCCACGTGCATGGTTTTCATAGCGCCGTTGGCCAATTTCGCCTGGTGTCATATGAAAATCGGACTCGTATGAAAATCGGACTCTTTTCCCCTTTAAATGGTTAAACCCTCTCACGTGACCGGTCCGTCTCCTAATTATCTATGCATGAGCATGCGCAATACCACCAATGAGTCCGTATTTCATAAAACCTAAATTCATGCTTCACCGGCAGCACAATAACAACGGGCATATTAACATATTCATTAGGGTCACCTGGCGTGACTTGGCGTGGGTCCAATTCTTGGCATTGACCAATTGGAAGCCGGCAAAAAGGGTGATACTTTTTAATTAATAACTTGCGAAGGAGGCTTTTAAACACATTTTTACTACACACCATAATGGATAGGATCCTTACTAATATTCGCGTGTCTTGAAAAGATTTAAAGATATTGCAGACGCCAGTGTTACAACTTTCAAAAATGCACGTAGCCCAGGCCTATTTTTCCAATTTCAACGAAAAGTATAATAGACACATCACAACGATTTTTAGCTCATAATTGGACCATTATAAGGGAAATAATCCTTGAAAGTTGCATGAAGATACGGTCTCTTAAACAGGAGAAATTAAGTTTCAGAGGTTTCGCCCGCCTACGTGAACGTGTCTGTGTACATGTTGTTTCATTCAAAATAAAGTGTTACGTAACCTTTAAAGAAACCGCCCTTCGCAACCACATGGCTGTAAAAGCATGCCCGTGGGTTTGGTTGGCACAAATTCCTCGTCAAAATTTTCCTTGAAGATAGTTCAAGGTGTAACACTTGCGTTTGCAACAACAGATTAAACTCAAATTCGGAGTACACTTACATGATATGTCCAACTACGCGTGAAATATCAACTTGGGGAATTCCTGCAAATCAATATAGATATATAGATTTGGGGATGTTTTCGAACGAATTGTTCCCGACTCTAAGGTCAGCTTTACCAGTATTGACTTTTTTCATCGATGACGGCGATTTATTTTTTCACTGACATGAAGTTTAGTATTACGCCTTCCGTTATAATCTAACATTTCAATCAGAGTGAGCATATTTTCTGAGAAACACAACGTTAAAAGCGCCACGTTTTTCGTGGGGTTCACGAATTTCAATGCTCTGTTACAGCGTCTAATTACTTAATCGGATTAGCTTTGCTTAACAACCTGCACGCCTGCGTGTTCGCAACCACACGGCTGTACATGGTGCTTTAAAAATTCATACCGTGGTAAAGGGTACTCCATTTGTGTGGATGAATAATTTGAATGTAATGATGACAATATGACAGTTTACACTGGCAGTGTACATATATATACTGTGTACTGCAGCTGCGGTAGACGGTTTGATATCCCGCAGCCGCAATCAGTCCTGCACATTGGTCTTCGGTCAATGCCGTCCTCGTCTGGGTTTGTAGGCTTGAGAGCCAGTAACGGCAAAGTCTAAGGCCCTCTGAGCGGGTGTGTCAGGGTTCATACGTAGGACATGGCCTAACATTGACCATCTTTGCTTTGTGACCTTTGATGAGAGGGGTTCTTCATTGCACAGTTCGTATAGTGCCTGGTTGCTGATAAGGCTCTTTGGCCAGCAGTGACCTGTGATGACACGGAGGTGTCTGCGGTGGCACGCATCCAGCTTGTCAAACATGACTTTGGGTGCTGTCCAGCTGTTGCAGTTGTAGAGCATGATTGATACGCAGTATGCGTTGTAGAGACGGAGTCTTGCCTTCAGCGGGATCTTGGTTCGCCGGCTCCAGAGTTTCCGTAACGTGTGGAATGTTACATTGCCTTGAATGCAGTGAGCTGTGATGTCTGAAGTGCTGCACAGTAAGGAGCCTAGGGTCTTGTTCTTGCGCCAACTCTCATTGCCGCGGACATCCTTACCGTGCAAGTCTGTCTCCGTGGCTTCTGCAAGGTATACGTGAGTAAACTCTGTCTTCGTCTCGTTCATGAACAAGTTGTCGACTTTTAGTTTCTCCGCTGCTACTGGCTGGAGATGGTCCAGGGGTTTCTTTGCTTTGTCCAGGAAGTCAACATCGTCTGCGTACTCCATTTCTAGTGGCAGACCTAGGCAGTGGAGACCGGTGGGTTGGGCCTGTTGGAGCTTTCTCAGACGGATGAGAGTGCAGCAGCAAGGTAGCAGGTGAAAAGGACTGGTGATAGGCTATCACCCTGGGGGGTCCTATTGAGGTCTCAAATAAGTCTGACAGCTCGTTTTTTACACGGACCCTGAGCTTCGTCCCTGCTAACAGTGATCTTGCTAGTCTTACTTCATCTTCGTTGCAGCCTGCTTGTAGTAGGACATCTAGGATGCGTTTCCGCTTGATAGTATCGAAAGCTCGCGACATGTCAATGCCCATCTTGTGGAAGTCTCATTTCCTTGTCATAACAACTGAGATCAGCGTACGTTGTGCCATACAATGTCTGCGCAGCTCCTGCCTCTTTTGAAACCACTTTGATATGGTCCGGTGAAGCAGTCGATTTTGTCTCTGATGCGGCGTAGAGTGATGATGGACAAAATCTTTCTTATGCTGTTCAGCAGGGCTATCGGCCGGAGGTTGGCTGGTGGGCCAGGGGGCTTCTTTGGCTTGGGAAGAGTGATTAGTGTGCCTTCTCCTAGTGTCTCTATGATCACGTGATGCTCACACGATGAGTTGATGGTTTTGGCCAGTGGGCGGGAGACAAGGTTTTTGGAGTGCTTGAAGAGCTCGCTGTTGATGCCGTCTGGACCGGTGATGGCGGTCTTGACTTCCTCCTCTGTAATGGGAGTCTGGAGTGGCGGTGGGGTGCCCTCAAATGGTTGCAGCGGTTCGTCCTGTTGGTCGGTAAACTGCTGCTGGAACCAGTCTTTAATGGCTCTTGCTTTGCCTTAGTCCGTTCCCATGAGGTTGCTTTCGGTGTCTTGGACAATGATAGGCGGGGTGGGTTTCGTTGAGTGAAGCTGCTTCACGGCACGAAACATTTTGCGACAGTCATCGGTTGAAGTGATTTGGTCTGCCAGGGCATCTGCCTCTTCCACTGCAACTTCCTTCTGTCTTTTGGATATGAGGCGCAGAATGTTATTACGCTTCTTCCGGAGGGGGGTGCGGTCAAAACCATTTACTTGTTAAACCTCGGTAGTGGCGATCAAGTCTTCTATTAATTTGGTAAGCCTCAGCAAGTGCGATCAAGTCTACTATTGATTCGGTAAGCGTCGGCAGTTGCAAGCAAGTCTTCTATTACTTTGGTAAACCTCGGTATAGTGGCGATCAAGTCTTCTATTAATTCAATAAGCCTTGGCAGTTGCGATCAAGTCCTTTATTAATTTGGTAAGCCTCGGCAGGTGCAAGCAAGCCTTCTATTAATTTGGTAAACCTCTGCAGTAGCGAGCGAGTCTTTTATTAATTTGAATCTTAAAATTAATGTGGCCTGACGTTGCGAACTTAGCAGGTTCTTCTTTAGAGGCTAAAACAGAAATGACAGAGGTACATACATTAACATGGGGGTGCATGGGGCTGAAAGAAGAAACACAAAAGGAGGATTAGGTGTGAAAGGTGTGGAAAGATACAGGGGAGGGTGGATGAGAGAACAAAGAAACAAAGGGAGATGGCAAACCACAAGGGGTCTTGTGTAAACAGGGGAGGGACCAGAAAGGGGAAGGATCAAAGGTCACAGGGAGTGGGAACGGACAAAAGAGTGTGAGAGTGAAGGGATGATGTGGGGGGAACAGTATTGAGGTGGAAAGGGATGAAAGATGGGGGAAGATGGGTAAACACAAACACGGAAGACCAGATGGATTATCTGTAACAGAAGACAATGGAGGAAGAAAAGGATTAGTCATTTCCAAGTTGGATGTTGAGACCATGTGGTTGAATAGTTCGAAGACGATTCATCCACACTTTCTCTCTGCTGAGGCAAACTGAGTCCTTGCGATGGCCAAGAGATACAATGCCCTGCAAAATCATATCAGAAATGGAGTGGTTAGGCAGGTTAAAGTGATGACCAACAGGGGTGTCTAGTTTCTTGGTGTTGACCGTTGACCGGTGGGCATAGAAACGCTTCTTGAGCGTATTCTTAGTCTCACCTACATACTGCACTCCACAGACCCTGCAAGAAATTAGATATATGACATTAGAGGTGTTACAAGTGATGTTACCAATGGTTCTGTGGGTAGTGACAGAAGAGTGGCCAGAAAAGGAGTCAGACTCCTGGATATGAATCTGGCAGACAACACATCTGGAACTGCACTTGAAAGTACCATGCTGGGTGGGAGGGGATGCATCTAAGGAAGGGACTTCAGCTCGAACAATCAAGTCCCGTAGATTTCGAGGACGCCTGTAAGCCAATGTGGGGCCGTTGGGGATGGCGCTGGCAAGGCGATCTGAAGTATGGAGGATATGATGATTGTCATTAGTGATTTTGCGAAGGGGAGGGAGATTGGGGTGAACTGTGGTAACCAAGGGAATCATGGGTTTGGCCATGGCATCAGGGGCCTTTCCCGTGAGAGCTAGATTTCTGGGGATAGCTTTAGCTCTGGCAATGGCACGATGAACTTGGCGAGAGCTTTGACCCCTGGCCACCAAGTTGTTCCTCAGTATCTGTGTATGGCGGGAGAAATCGGAATCATTAGAACAAATTCTTCTGAGTCTGAGTGCCTGGCTAAACGCTATGCCAGTTTTGCAGTGCCTGGGATGACAGCTGGAGGAGTGGAGGTACTGGTGGGTGTCTGTGGGTTTGGAATACAGGTCAGTGGTTAGTGAGTTGCCTTGCTTGCGGACGGTGACATCCAGAAAGTGGGTTTAGTGAGCTGAGAACTCCGATGTGAATTTGATGGTTCTGTGGAAGGAATTGATGTGGTTAGTGAAGGTCAAGAGACTGAAATTTTATTAATTTGGTAAGCCTCGGCAGTTGCCTGCAAGTCTTCTATTAATAAGGTATATCCTCCGTAGACTTGAGGAAGTCTTTTGTTACTTTGGTAAGGCTCGGTAGTGGCGATCAAGTCTTCTATGAATTACGTAAGCTGCGACAGATGCGACCAAGTCTTCTTTTAATTTGTTAGGCCTCGGCAGGTGCGATCAAGTCTTCTATTAATTTGGTAAGCCTGGGCATGTTCCAGCAAGTAATTTATTAATTTGGTAAGCCTCCGAAGTAGCGAAATATTTGATTTATTTGGTTAGCCTCCGAAGTAGCGATCAAGACTTCTATTAATTTGGTAAGCCTTGGTAGTGGCGATCAAGTGTTTTATGATAAGCCTCGGCAGGTGCGAGCAAGTCTTATATAAATTTGGTAAGCCTCAGCGGGTGCAAGCAAGTAATTTATTAATTTGGTAAGCCTCCGAAGTAGCGAAATATTTGATTTATTTGGTTAGCCTCCGAAGTAGCGATCAAGACTTCTATTAATTTGGTAAGCCTCGGTATTTGCGAGCAAGTCTTTTATTGATTTGGTAAGCCTCAGCAGGTGCGAGCAAGTCTGCTATTTATTTGGTAAGCCTTGGCAGGTGCGATCAAGTCTTTTATTAATTTGGTAAGCCTGGGCAGGTGCGATCAAGTCTCCTATTAATTCAGTAGGCGTCGGCAGTTGCGATCAATCCTTCTATTAATTTGGTAAGCCTCAGTAAGTGCGATCAAGTGTACTATTGATTCGGTAAGCGTCGGCAGTTGCAAGCAAGTCTTCTTTTACTTTGGTAAACCTCGGTAGTCGCGATCAAGTCTTCTATTAATTGAATGAGCCTTGGCAGTTGCGATCAAGTCTTCTATTAATTTGGTAAGCCTCGGCAGGTGCAAGCAAGCCTTCTATTAATTTGGTACCTCGGCAGTAGCGAGCGAAACTTTTATTAATTTGGTAATTAAGCCTCGGCAGTTGCCAGCAAGTCTTCTATTAATAGGGTATAGCCTCCGTAGACTCGAGCAAGTCTTTTATTACTTTGGTAAGCCTCGGTTGTGGCGATCAAGTCTTCTATTAATTTGGTAAGCCTGGGCAGGTTCGAGCGAGTAATTTATTAATTTGGTAAGCCTCCGAAGTAGCGATCTCTTTTATTAATTTGGTAAGCCTCGGAAGTACCGATCAAGTCTTCTATTAATTTGGTAAGCCTCGGTAGTGGCGATCAAGTCTTTGATTAATTCGGTAAGCGTCGGCAGTTGCGAGCAAGTCTTCTATTAATTTGGTAAGCCTCAGCAGGTGCGAGCAAGTCTTTTATTACTTTGGTAAGCCTCGGCAGGTTTGAGCAAATCTTTTATCATTTTGGTGTAAAGCCTTGGTAGTGGCAAGCAAGTCTTTTATCATTTTGGTAAGCCTCGGTAGGTAAGATCAATTCTTCTATCAATTTGGTAAGCCTTGGCAGTTGCCAGCAAGTCTTCTATTAATTTGGTAAGTCCGGCAGACTCGAGCAAGTCTTTTATTACTTAAAAATCTCTAGTATAAACAGCCCACGTGGCAAATCTGACTACTGTGATTTCATCATTTCTAACGTATCCAGAGAAATACAGATCTCTGCCAAGCAGGCGTGTCTGGAGGTACTGTGATAACCAACTCTGATTCCCTGCGTAATTTCCTTGCTGAAGACTCGGCGGTTCTTTTTTGCTATTACGGGAATTGATGAATGCTGGGAAGCATTTCGATACTGCATTCTGCTGGATGTGGATGTATGCATACCTAATGGCCTTGTAAGTTCTGGACGATGCAAACCCTGGCTCAACAAAATATCCTCAAGCCTATCACGGATGGACAGACAAATATCAAAAATGTAAAATCCGTCAAAATCCCTTGAGGATCATACTTGATACAAGTTTGTAATGTTGCTATAACAGCGTGCCAATGGTATATGGCACAGAATCTATCTGACCTAACACAACGAATTTCAGATTCAACAGGCCAGATTCAACAAAACGGTCAGGTGCCCTCATGTAGTCACTGTGCAAAATTTTGAAAACCGCGCCGACACAAATCGAAGTAAGGCATAATTTTTAACTTTTTCATTAAAACGTTTTTCATTAAAAACGTTTGTCCAACTGAACAAACTTTGGCATCCAATATCACCATCAGAGGGCGCTATACTAAATTTGAGGACCAATTTAAAAAAATTGAGTTTTGTCCTTTTTTTCTCAACCCAAATCTGCATCAAAGGACTACACATGGTGAAGAAATATTTTTCATTCGAATGTCACAAAAGAACCCCGAAACAAAGCAAACAGATAGTTCGGCCAAAGGCAGCCACTATGTATTTTCAGCATGCAGTGTTATTGGTCACGTGACCATAAATTGTAGTCTGAAGTTTATACATGATGGGGCGGGCAAAGAAAACATGAAACGTTTTTACTCATTATTGCATATTTTTACTTCTATTCTACAAAAATGACAAAATTATATTGTTACTGTATATTGTTATTGTGTTTTAGAATCGGTTTGCACTGTAACCATGACAACTCATAGCTGAAGAATTATATCTGGCATTATCTACCTACTAGGTATGTATCACATTTTGTATCCTCCTGCAACAGTCGACAGGATTAAACATTCTTAATCCCTAATTACACATTCAGAATTCCTGAAACTATTTCATATCTGCAGCAAATTCTCAATCCAAGCGAAGAAAGAAGCTTAATCGACGGTCTGAATAATATTTTACGATTCCCTTGAAAAAGGGGAGAGGGAATTTTTGGATACTAAGAACCATCTTTCGTTATATATGCACATGGATGTAGAAACTGTTCATCTCAGGCTGAAAGCAAAGTATACAAATTCAATAAAAAAAAGACTGAGTGCACAAATTATTTTTAAATGAATTTCGTTCTCAAATACATGAAATAAACGTTTAGACATTTACAAAACTGAAATGGTAGAGGAATATTAAAAAAAATCCAAAGTCTTGTTACAAACGTAAATCGCATTTTTGATGACGTCAGATGACGTCACACACTGTTCAAAATGTTGTGCCTTACAAACCAAATACATTTTACAAAATAGTTTTGAATTTTGCATTTTGTGTTTGTGAGATATGGCTTAATGATGTTTTTAACTCGATTCGCAGCTCTAATGAAATTCATCATATATTGATGACATTCCTGTCTTACAGGAAGGTGATTAAGAAAAAGGACGACCGGTCAGCGTCTTTTTTTCCCTGGGATGTTTAAAAGAATAACGTCAGTGAACAAAATCATACTGTGTACGTCTCGTGGCTCCATAGTCCTTAAGTTGACGATCCTTGCCATGCACTTCTTCACCAATAATGGTGAACAACGATCTCTGGTATTTGGATTTTGTTCTCAAACCCCTCCTTTTCGTACTCAACGTACCGAACGAATGTAAGTTTGGTCTCGCTCATCCACGCTGCTGAATAGAGTGCACTGACCTCATCGTCATTCATCAAACCTCTCAACGGTTTGATCAACTCGAAACCATGCTCAGGGTGGTCAATGCTCCACAGGTACATCGAGCCTGCACCATAGCTACACTCTTCAGACGCAATGACCTTATTGCCAAGGATACAACGGATTTCAAGCATGCGCTCCTCGTGCGACTTGGTGTCTCCAATGAATCTGCCGTCGAGATTGAACAGTCTAATGTTCGAGTAATCCGATGTGGCGAGGAGGAATTCGCCGTTGAACTCAAAGTGCGTTGATTCATCGTGTGAGTCCCAATACTCAAAGTCCACACCAGGTACGTCAAAGTGTCTAATGCATTCCCCCGATTCAACGTTCCATATCTTTATTGCGTTTCCAGAATTGGCACTAATCACGATGCCGTCCCCAAGGTGACAGGAAATCATGTTATTTGCATCACTGAAAATTGTCTGCTTACAGACACCACTCTGTGCGTCCCATAATCGAATCTTACGGTCGCTGTAAGCACCTGCAACTGTCTTGTCAAGATAGTCCACGTAAACCAGTCGGACGTCATCGGAGGTGCTCTCAAAGACGAAACCGTCTATAGATGTACCGTCTATAGCATTCCAGACCCGCATATCACTGTCACCACATACCTCCATATCCCTGTCTGACTTCCCGGCAATACTTACGATAGTGTCACCATCGAAGAAGAGACGAAACACATCCAGACGATGCCCCGACATGACCTGCAGCTGCTCTCCGGTCTGGGCGGAGTAGGTACGAATCTTCCCATCAATGCATCCTGCAGCTATGATCCCATTTTTCATTTGCAGTGCTTTTTTTCCTTTACTGATGCCCACTTTGATGAAATGTCGACGTGTACCGTTGGAGATATCCCAGATATGCAGAGTATCATTTGATAGAGCACCGGCAAGACTATTCCCTTCACCAGCTAGGCTGCATACTATCAACTCAGGTTCAGAGCTGCCATATATGTGATCCTTGTAGCCACCCGAACCAAACTCGAACGACACAACATGATACCGATTGTTCTTCCAATTTCCTTCAAGATGTCGTGCCTTCATGTATATCTCCTTCCATCTACATGTATTTACCAACCCTGGCCAGTTTGAACCAGTGACAACCGAATCAGAGGCAAAGGTGACACTGTCACCAACGCTTCCATCCCCGCCAGGTTGAGGTGACGAAGGTATGAACGGGGGTTCAACACAAAGATCAACGACTGCATCAAACTTCTCCCATCGCTTCTCTCGGCAAAGAGGGCGCCATAGAGCATCGTCATTGGTGGCTTCTCTCCAGGATCGATTACATAATGCCACGTGACACAGGTCCTCAACTGAAAGATGTTGAAGTATGAGAACCTTCAACTCATAAGGCAGGTTAGAAAAAGGATCTCTTTTCGGAACTGACAACGCCATTTTGCTGTGAAATACAAAGGAAAAAACAATGTTATCTGGTTTAGGCCTACACGACAAACTAGAAAATTACAATTTTAAAGCCAGATAGAATAAAAGTTTTGGGGGGATATGCAAACACATTCTTTGTGCACCCAGTTTTTTTTATTCAACGTACATGACTTATTCATAGTACATGCACATGAATTGAACGGGCCATAGTGCGAATATACGCTCCGTATTTTTCATTCGTTACCCCCAATTTTGTTCACTAAATTTCACAGTTTAAATCTGGCGCGCATAGTATTAAACAGAGGTCCAGGGCTACATAATCGGATTAAAGCTGGAACTGCGTTCGACCCTTAAATGTGGCCCGGCTCAAGGGCGGATCCAGGGGGGGGGGCCAAAGGGGGCCATGGCCCCCCCCCCCCAAAACGAAACCATTTTTTTTTTTTTTTAATGTGACATCGCAATAAAGCAGGCAATGAGCACACCACCATCTTTTCCTCAAAAAAAATTGGTTAAAGTGGTCAGAAATTGCCTCAGATCGCACCACAGAGCCCCGAACCCCACGCCGTAATTTTTTAGACCCACTTTTTGGGGGGACCAAATTTTTTTTTGGCCCCCCCAAAATTGTGTTCTGGATCCGCCCTTGGCCCGGCTCCTCCATTCATAAAATGGATTAAACAAACCTATACATGATAATGTACATATAGGATTTGTGCACATATCAATGCAAAGGTATGTCTAATAGTACAATCTTGTCCGATTTTGTCAAGCTTGACATAAACATCCTTTCACATTTTTGTTTCCTTCAAGAAATCCGACGTACACTTCCATGTACATGCATGGATATCCTCCTTACAAACACAATGGTACTGCCCAATTAACAAATGCACGTTCTTTCCATCACAAATTTCTATAACTTCCTTGAAGTGAACAGTATTCAGATCCAAATTTACATTATTTAGAAATGAAATTAACTCCTATAAAGACCACAGTTATAATCCAAATTTACAAATGGATAGTTTTTAAATGTCTTAATTAAAGTAGAATTGGAGAAAACATGTCCTGTAAACAGGTGATGAGCAGAGTCCAAGATCATGAAACGCGTGATCAGCACTTTAAGCCCTGTCCGCACTGGACTTTTTTGGTAAAACTTACCGAGACTATATACTTTTCCCATTTTAAGTCCAGTGCGGACAGCCTGGGACGTTTTATCCTCTCAGTTACTCTTCCTGAGTCCAGCGGTTATTTTTACCGGCCAACTGCTGCCCAGGAAAACTGACCAGGCGCCCAGGAAAACTGTATGACCAGGTCACTTTTGCCGAGACGATAATCCAGTGCTGACAGTGCGAGTCGGTAAAAGCGGCTTGGGAAAGCATACATCCAGCCCAAATGCGAGTATCATCATGGAGGAATGCATACAGAGACCGCACGATCCCACACGTGATGTGGCCGAACATTTTGTGGAAACACGTACGCTACGTGTGTCAAGTCCGAGCGGTAAAATCTCGTTATAAATATATTTTAACGGCCAAAAAACACAGAAAAGATCAACATCACGTTCTGGGAATTACTTTGCAGTTATTCTTTTTCTCCACCGATGTTTGGTTGTTGTTTTATACGATCCAAATTTGTCCTGTTACGCCGTGTAGTCTGCACATGGCACCGTACGTAGGCCGTAGTCACTGGTTCCGGTCCTACATCATAGCTTCAATTCTGTTAGCATGCGGTGGGAACCGGCGATTACCAATGGAACTGCTGCCGCACGGAACATCGTACAGCGGCATGGCTTCGATGTAGTTCATTACAAATGCGTCAGAAATTTAAGCATTTTCGTCCAGATTTATAGTGTCAAGATGAAATAATATCGTATGTAACTATTCTATTGTGCATTTTATTAGCGTGTGATACTGTGCGTCTCGGGGGCTGAAAAAAATGCGATCGGCATTTTATTTCCTCAGTGTGCGCGTGACTGTGACATCTCGGTCACTTCTACCATGGTGTTTTTATTCTTCCATGCTTCTACCACGCAGTCTTGGTAAAATTTCCCGTTTCGAAAGTCCAAGTGCGGACAGTGGTCACATTTGACCATTTTTCATGTTACGGTCGTCTCGTACAGTGCCTTATCGATCGAAAGTTGTCATCGGCCACTTTGTTAATTCTTTGTGGAAAGGACGCCGGGTTTTTTTTTCAACCAATCAAAACAAGTTTTACATGTTAGGAAAGAAGAGTTGCTAAGTTATTCGATTCCGTTTAACCCCGTACAGTTTGATACTCCAGTCAGGAGTAACAGTCAAAAGAGCCGACGCGAGGGCGCTCAATCGGTACGTGCGTTTACACGGGGAAAATGATGAAAACTTCACATTTTCAAAGCCGACATGACGTAGATCATGTTGAAGATAAAAAAATAACATATATCATGAGGAAGAGAAAGAGTTAAATTGTATAGAACCGTTTAACCCCATTGAAAAAGACCGCATGGTTATCAAACTATGACTCGATCGAAACGTACGTCGATCGGGAAAAAAAGACCATTTTACGGGGATTCTCGCCCGAAAACGGGCCCGCACAGCTAGAGGTTTATGCTTTAAGTGAACACAAGAAATTCATATAAATTTAAGTGTCAATAATTGTTCACTACCTTATTGGTATGATTTGTTAAGCTAACATTCTTCGAGCGCTAAACGAGAAAAATAAGGATTTTTCTATGCCTTAAAGTATCGCTGACTCCTTGACACTACCTTGATACGCCCATATATTTTGTATGATCATTCGCAAAGGCACGTACACTGCCTGTATACACGAAGGACGTGCATTGTCGTTATGCACTGTATGTGGGGCTATACACATGTAAATGTCAACAAAGTCTGACTGCAGTGCAATAGACTTATGCGTTGCAGGTTGTTCTTTGTTATTATTGTTCGGTCTTTGTTATCCAGGCTATGCTATTACCATTGCCCTCTAGCCTAAAGTTATACGCAAAATAATGTATGTCTACGTACATGTACATCTACAGATACATGTCAATGTGCATCTAGTACAACAGGCAAAGTTCCCGTCATCCCATATTGTATGCCACTTACCGTCACACCTTGCATACAGTTATTCCTTGAGTACAGACTTCCACCTGTAAAACAGCCAACGCTATGCTGCAATACAGGTTCAAGGCAATGTGGCGTTGTTTGAAGGTCAGATTCTACTATACGGAGGCCTCTGCAGAACGTTTTCGTATAATATGGTTACGGCTGTGTATTATCATGGAGGAATGCATGGTTATATAATGTTTAGAACATTCCACAGAGAAAATAAGTAAGTTGTTATCGATCGGGCATGTACGAAATTTGCTAATGGCAATGGGACAGTTGAGACTGCAAGGGTACTACACCTTGCGGTAGAGCGATGTACCAATGTGATTCAAAACATTCTTAACCTGCATGACGTTGCTTTGCAAACATATTAAATATTAACATAAATTTACAAAATTGCACGCGGTTTCCCTCCGAATTAAATAGGTTATAAACCCTAACCTTAACTCTATAATCATGCCTATATGGGGCGTCAGACCAATGGGACGTCGGACTAGAATAAGGGATGGACAATGTGGCCGGGCCTACAAGGAATGGGTTGGGTGTAGTATCGAATGCTTGGAATCAATGGGAGACACGCACGGTTCGGCAGCGGGTGACTGTTAAGTGTGTTGAACAACTGAATAGAGGACAATCTGTAACATGTCATCAGGTACATATGTATGGAGTGCATATAATACAATATTAGAACCCTTTCCACATTACTTGTTAAAAGTCCAAAATGCGATTAAAGTTGTACAAGGGTGTATTTGGGGCATATTTAAACATGTGTGTTTATATAGAAGCATTAAAAATTAATGAGAAACTATGGGTTTTGTCACATGCAATACTTAAACCTAGGTCAGCGCATTTCTTCTTTCTTTTTTTTAAGACAACTGTTCGAAACAAACCTATTAATAACATATTGAGGGAAATTGTTTTCTTCTCAATGTAGATCAACTATTTTAAATTTAGCACTGAAATCAACTTAATGAGTATAAACAAGCAATTTAACGAAAGAAAAACACTGTTTTCGAGAAAATTGTGAACTGAACTGCTACGTTTGCATAAATTTAACATTTTTGAAAATAAAATGAAACCAATAAAGCCAAAATGTATAGGTAGTAGGTGACAATACAGTTTGACTATAACTTGACCAAAGAAAAAAGGTTTTGTCTTGATTCATGACACAAAGTCACTCAGGTGTGGGGGTGACTGACGATTGCAGGATTGCGACGTTGGGGCTGGTTTGGCTGGTTTTAATAGCTGGGATGGTGTATCTTGGAAAGGGGTGACGATGTCGCTTTCATAATCACTGTCAGGGTGTATGGGGGACCCCCGTGCACCCCCCCCCCCCAAACTAACATACACCATTTTTTGTTTAGATGTTAACAGTAAAAAAAATCCGATGCCAAGGAAATATCCAAGATGGCGGCTGGAGTTAAGACCAGCCAAAAAGTGAGGGGGCGGGTTCCGCCCCCGGCCCTTTTAGGATTAAGTAAAGAATCAGTTGAGGGCAAATGTGACTGCAGTGTGATGCTAATAGACATGTCTCTCTTCACTTTCTAGTGAGTGAGGCATGATCCAACAACCATTGTTCGTCTTCTTATTTCTCGTTTTTATTGAGGGATGGTCTGTTGAAACAAGCACTTTAAAGCCATCCTCATTGATTCCAAATACAACTGAGATTTAAATCTTACGAATCAAGACTGAAACATTATTTTTACTGTCAGATTTTCTGTTTTGAATATGGGGAACAATTCAACTCTTTTTTCCCCAGAAGTATTGGTGAGTTTTTTTCTATTTTCCTTTTCAATTTTTTCCTTATTCGTGGAGGCGGGAAAACTTTTTTTTCTCTTCATTAATTTTGTTAATGGTATTTATCAATTCGTAGACCGTTAAATTGGTTTAGTGGTGGACAGCTGAATTTTGTGATCTCTTTATTAAAATAGACACGACTTGGGAATAGAGTATGCAAATTACGGGAAATGTTCACAGTTACTACTCAATAACGTTCTTTATCCCTATTATATTTTTTTTACAAAATGGAGCGTGCCGTTTCTTGTTTTTATCATTCGGTCACTTTCTTTTTGACTCGCCATGTATTCACCTTTTCATCTGTGATAAACACAAATTGAGCTACTGCCATAGTCACACAAAAATAGAGTCTAATTGCCTGCCTCGTCTCCTTCCTAAATGTCAATTGCGTTTGCATGAGTCGAGAAGACTTTTGTTCCATTAATCGCTATATGCTGTTTACGGCCATCACAATAAACGATTAAAATATTGGCAATATGTCGTACTTGTAGATCACTAAAATATTCAAGTAAATCACCCGGCAAAGCAGCCGATGCGGGCGATACAAAACACAGCCGATGCTGGCACGGTACAAAACACAGAGAGGCGTGCGCACTGAGCCATGAATCCTAAAAGTGCATCTCACCCACCACATTCAGTTTGTGACAGCGCCCTTCTATTGTGTCGGCCATATTCTCAAATAGGCTAATGACCATGGGCGTCGCGAGGGGGGGGCAAGGGGGGGCACTTGCCCCCCCCCCCCTGGAAAAGCAAACAAAAAAAAAAAAAAAAAAGGAAGAAAAAAAAGAAAAGAAAAAAAAAGAAAAAGAGGCTCGAAGACAAAGTGGTGTAAATTTAATGAGTTGGGGGGGGGGGGGCAAAATGTCCCTGCCCCCCTCTAAAACTGATAAATCGAGAATGTGTTGAGAAATACAAGCATTTTTTGGCAAAAAAATTTTTTTGCCCCCCTCTAGAAAAAATCCTGGCGACGCCCATGGGGGGGGCACTTGCCCCCCCCCCCCCCCGAAAAGCAAAAAAAAAAAAAAAAAAAGAGGCGCGAAGACAAAGTGGTGTAAATTTAATGAGTTGGGGGGGGGCAAAATGTCCCTGCCCCCCTCTAAAACTGATAAATCGAGAATGTGTTGAGAAATACAAGCATTTTTTGGCCCATAAACTTTTTTTGCCCCCCTCTAGAAAAAATCCTGGCGACGCCCATGCTAATGACGATGATGACGGCGGGCAGATTAACAGAAGATAGATCAGGCAAATATGGTTCATCGATCTTCTATAGTATATGTAATGGTATTGACCTTAAACAAAAATAAAGTGGCATTACATTTCAGCCTTTGCCAGGCCTTCTTTAGAGGTAAAGACAGAGGAACAAGAAACAAACATGTAGGGGACACACAAACATGCAGGGTTGGAAGGAGAATCACAAAGAGGGAAGGGGGGGGGGGGAGGAGACCAATCCATATCTGGCTACCATCTCTCAATTTTTGGTCTACATGTACAAATCTATATTCCATGACTGAAATTTTAAAAAATAAATCAATATTTTCTTGCTCCCATTTTTTTTGGAATCAGGTTTACAAGGAGGTCCAGTGTAAAATTAAAGTTGCATTGAAATATCCGTTAGTAGTCATTGCTGAAACCAAGGGGTGGTTGTGGAGTTTAGGGTCCGAGTTCCTATTACAGATGAAACATCCTTCTTTAACTTTTTATTTTTGTCAAGTTTCAACATTGCAAAAAACTAGTACAAATTGTCGTACTCAATCACTTCCTTCACATCCCCATCAATTCATCGATTATGTTGCACGTGTGTGTCCTCGATTTACACCATAAACACGCGCAGACACACCTAAGAATACGCTTTCGCAATATCCCCCTCCGGCTTACAGCCAGAGGGATCAAACAAACCGTTAATGTTCAGTTGAAAACATTGTTTGTGTCTGAGTAGGAATATAATGGATAAACAAGAGTTATATCCAAATAACGTTGACACTTCTGAGTCAATGTGTAGGCTAACTTTGCAAAAACAGCTAGCGGTGCAAATGCTAATTTAAGGCGCTGGTTTAGGCTGGGTTTCCGAAAATATCCTCAATTACACGATTCAGGGCCAAATTATGCAAGATGAATGAATTGGTTTTGAAAACACAATGAGTGAAAACAGTGCTGCTTCTTATACCCCTTCTGTTGTTTATTTCTTAACAGGAATACACCTTTTCATGGGCTCTCTGTATAACTGGATTAAATACAGGCAATTAGCCTGGGGGTTTGGTGGGTATCAAATGAGGAGAATAATGCTCATTGTGATTTTTTTGCAAGGTTTGTAGTTAGAAAATAGCATTGTAGCGGTGGCAGCTTTTTTAATTTTGTGTGCTATATTTTTTTTTAAACGAGGGAAACATGCTTGTTATCATATATAATAACTCGGTGACGCGCATATTAGTATAGTTTATGTAATAAACAGTGGCAAAAGCCACGGTCTATACTTGGAACAGATTTGCTGATTAATAACGCAAGATCTTGAACTCTAGATTTTGACCAATTAGCAGACGCATGTTAATGTCGGGCCTTCGGTTATTCACCTTTGTCGCGTCTAGACATACTAGACTACAATTCCTAATGAAAAAAACCCCGCTAAACACAGCAAAAAAGCGTTGGTCACGCGCTATTGTGTTACGCAACATGTATGCGCGCGGCTGTTGTAACACTTGATTATAATTGACTAATCACAGTTTTAGTCCTGATTTGGGAATAAATGACATCGGGATTCAGTAAAGTCGACTCCTATTAGCTGAGGCGCGAGATGGCATAAATTTGCATGTTTTACATAATATCAGGGGCCAATTTCATAGAGTTGCTTAAGCATAAAATTTGCTTAAGCACAAAAAACCTTTGCTTAATAATTATAATCAGGTTACCCACCAAAACTCCATGCGATTATTATGTTAAGTAAACAACAGCCAAATACCAGTCACAAGCACTGTACATCGCATGGAGTTTTGGCCAGTAACCTGATTATATTAAGCAAAGTTTTTTTGTGCTTAAGCAAATTTTATGCTTAAGCAGCTCTATGAAATTGGCCCCAGATGTTAGGCCTATACAGGAGACTTGGCTCCGTGGATAACGGGTGATAACGGGTGATATCAGACTAGCATATTGACGGCCATTTTGAAAAAAAAAACATTTTGAAAGTGATAGCACCCAAAAAACTGACACCGCTCACACTGCAAAGCTATCACATACTTTCCAACTCTAGATGGGCATACCTTACGAAAAATTGCTATGAGCGTTGCTCATTTTGAACATCTGATACCGGTGGCCCAATGTTTGGACCGAAGCTGATAGCCTATAAATAGTTTGGGAGCTAGGTGGAGTTCAAACTGACAATATCATTATGCGACCACGCCATCGACCTTCTTGCTAATAAATTCATAATTTTGCACGCATTCCCATCAATGAAGAAGCAAAAGTGGTCCATTAAAATGTACAGGGGTCCAAATATTCGGGTCATTTTCTCTCAATTTTTCTCCAGGAATAATCGCTCTTTAATTAAAAAAAAGGCCTTAAAATCATCGTTGGCATTACTTGCCGGCCTAAGTGGGCTTTTTGGTACAGAATAAAAACTTTGGTGGACGGGTACCTCGAATCACACGGTATTTTTTTCCACTCGTGCGGAAAGTAGCTCTGCTGATTTTCTTCGCTCTCGTGAACCCAGGACGAAAGCAATTTTTAACATTTCAATGCGACGACATTTTGTCCGAACTGTTGCCCAAATTGTGTCTTAATGTTTCTTGATGTTCTTTGTTGAAAATCAGTAAGCATCACACATGCCTTCTCCGTAAACCCTTCTTCCCCATAGTCCGACAGTCACCTGAACAGCGACGGAGCATACCGTGAGAAACGTCAACGAGTTGTTTCTGAAGCAGAGGTCTGAATACACTAGGGGTGTATAAATTGCAAATATCGTGACTTCCACTCTATAGCAGGTCCTAAATGAAAACACCACTCAGTGACAACTCTTCAGCGTCGAGCAATCTCGGCATCCACGCTGTTACTGCCGCCGTGCTCGTCCAAACAAGTGCAGAAAACCGCCCTCAAACCCTTCCGGAATTTCTTGTACTTCAGCTCGTAGATGATGGGGTTAACCACCGAGTTAAGGTATATCAGAAAACTGGTTATGCCACTGATGTACTTGAAACTCTCTGAACCACAGAAATTAAGTGTGCTGTCGCTTGTTGGATACAAGCATAAAATAACGCAGACATTATCCGGTGTCCAGAGAATAATGAGAGCACCCAGGACTATCGTAAGCATGCTGATGACATGCTGTCTAGCAATCACGAGATCAACCGCTGCTGCCCTCGCGCATTGTAGGTTCAGAGCTTGTGCTTGTCTTTTGAGAGTAACCTGCATTTTGTAGTACGCCCAACTCATCATTATGACGGGCAGAATGTAGGTGAATGAAACCAATACCACACTAAGCAAAATGGGGAATGCTTGATTGGGGTACTCGATGTCAGAACAGGCTTTGTCGAGATCATCGCTGGCTTCGATTGTGAATAGAAAAGGCAGAGCCAACAGGACAGAAAGCATCCAGAGCAGAGTCACGAGTGTCTTCATCCTTGTAGCTGTGACTTTCCTGGCATATTTGAGTGGATGTACAATAGCTATGTATCTTTCCAGCGTCACCACGCACAGGTTGTAAGCGGACGCGTTGAAAAACACCCAGATCAGTGACTGGGACGCCACAAGCCGGCAGTACAGTTCCCTCCCAAGAGAGCTTGATGGAACCATGTTGATAAGAGTACACCTGCTAGACGCAAAAAGGTAATGGAAAAAGGTGCAGAGACATAGCAGCATATCGGCCACAGCTAAATTCACCAGGAGATAGTTCGTCATGGTGTGGAGAAACCTGACGCGCAGAACGACGAAGCAAACCAAGAGGTTTCCTAGGAAACCCAAGACACCTTCTGCTGCGATGATCTGGCAAACCCAAACATCTGTTTGCGCTTCTCCGAGACTAATCAATGAAGTCGCATTTTTCATCGACATTGTGTGTTGTTGTTTTCTATGCGTGTGATTTATAACATCAGCTCAAAAGCAGTTGTCAGCAGGTAAAGAACTAACGCAATGGTCTTGTGATCCAGTCAATCAACAGTTAGATGCAGAGGTCCTCCTTTGCAAGAAATCTGGTTAGACATGTTGTTTCAATATGACAAAAGCCTGACCATCGGCTTATAGAATCACAGCGTTCACTCACTCTCTGTCATTTCTCGCCGTTTGTCGTTGCGATGGTTGTATGCGCGATAGAAGGATCATGCCACGACCGGTTCGCGCTCCGGTTATTACCGGGCCCCTTGCCCCTTGGACTGACACCGGTGGTTAGCAGATGCGTTAATTCGTACCTCACATCCAAATATGGCGTCTCAAAGAAATGTTAGAAAATGGTGTCCGCAGTCCTCAACAGATGGCAGATAATTATATCCGTCTAGTTACATCAGTCACACGTAGCCAGCTGCTGTCGGTGAAATCACTTTCCAGTTTATCAATGTACGTTTTGAGAAGATATTTCGTTGAATAATTTTGTCTCCCGAGTTTTTTCTTATAACAGTTAGATAAGCAGGTTTTTCGCGGTGTTTAAGCCGTTGTCCAGCCGTGTTTAAGCATGTTGTCCAGCCGTTTCACCTAAGTGCAACCACAAGTACCATACGCACTATTCCATATCTTAATTGGAAGATGCATTAGTTAATAATTACCCCTTGCCTAATGGAGGCGGCACGATGATAAAACGAAGCTTTTAAAGATGCTCGAATTATTAATATGGAAGTCTAGAGTAAACCTCACCCATTTCTTTTGTCTGATACCCTGCTTTTAATGCAGAGGGGAAGAGGAAATGGATGGAATTTGTTTGTGCCCTGTGACTCCATCTGTCCAAGTGTATTGAACTACATGCATTGATAATTTTAATTTAATTTTAGGAACTGTAAGACAGAGACCTAATTGATATTAATTCGGAAATGTGTCTAAGACGCACGCATTGTGCTGCTACATCGTTGTTGAATGTAAAATGGAAACAAAATGGGCCATGGCGTGTACGCTCATAATTTTGTGCACGGATCAGTGGCGATAACATAGTGCATGTTGTTTATATACAATAGCTGACGCAATGCTTTCGCCATTAAAGGGGTCTCTCTGAATGTACAGTAATAGCGTGCTAGGAATGATCTGTAGTCAGGCCCTCATACCATTAGGCCTATAGCTCAAGAATAAATTGAATTGATACAGAGGATAGTACAGTACCGAAGAGACTTAACTTTGACACTGTTGGTCTATTGTGTAGGCCTAAACTAATGTTTTCATTTTATTCAGGCAGAATAGACATCTGCTTACATTGTTGCTACAAACAAGAATACTCCCTGCTTGCATGCAGTGGATGACAATTCTTTCTTCTGTGTGGTCACACTGCCATTCCCGTACCGCTACAATCAACTGCAAGACAGTCGCTGGAGACGCTGGTAACTGCAGCTGTTAGGCCGCTCAGGCAGTTAATGATGGCATATCACGCGAGATACCTGTGATAAATACATACCAATTCGACAACAATGTATCATAGTTTAATACGAAAACGTATTTCTTATTTTAATCTGATTCTTACTGAAAAAGAAATGGCTTTTTGAAGGTAATAAGGAACAGATACAATAGCACACAATTCTTTGCGAAAGGCAATGTTTTCTTCAAAGCGATACATTTCACACTAACCCCCAAACAACCAGGACTTTCCGTCTGACTATGTTTTAGCATTGGTGAGAGTCAGGCAGCGCACCGTAGTATCGCTCTGCATTTTGTCCGTTGATCGGTGGCTGATATAGCGGAGGGCATGCCAAGGAACCCGCGTCGGTCCAATACTTGCGGAGGTCTACGATGAAAAGGTAGTGATAAAATGTAAGAGAAAAACAATACAAGAGAATGCTAAATTAAAAAAATGATATAGTTAAAACTATCGTCAGAAAACACCCTATATTAGTTACAACACATCAAAGTAATTGATAAACTGTCCTGATTGGGCTGATACGTGTACTTACCGGATCATTGACGTCCATGTTACTTCGCATAACGATGCATGAGCAACTCATTAAATTTACACCAGTGTGACTTCGCGCCTCTTTTTCTTTTCTTTGTTATCCTTTTTTTCTTCCTTTTTTTTTTTTTTTTTTGCTTTTCCAGGTGGGGGGCAAGCGCCCCCCTTGCCCCCCCCCCCTTGCGACGCCCATGGCCGGGCACACACCGCTTTACCCGATCAACCTGTACATTATTGGACGGTATTCGGGTCTGTTGCATTGGAAGCGAGACACGGTATTGAAACAAAATAGAAACGCCCCATCAAGAACACTTTTTCCAAGCCCCTTCTAAAATCTACTGTTCATAAACTGGGCAGGGATGTTATAGGTTCATATCTTCGCCATGCTTACTATTCCTGATTTAAAAAAAAAAAAAAAAACGGATATCATGACCTCTTTTTTTTCCCGCAATAAATTTTCCCCGTTTATCGCAGCTTTGTGTAAAACACGAATCAATGACTTGGACCGCATATAGCGAGCTGATGAACTCAAGAATACATGCATTAATTTTGGAGGTTGCTGAAATTTTACTCACTAAGAAAAAAAAATCGGTTAAGACCTTGGCTCTGTCAACATGCCACAGGTTAATTGGGACACACATACGCAACGACGCATTGGGGAGGGGGTGGGGCAATGGGGGCCATTGCTCCAAACTCAAAACCCTTTACGCAGCCAATGCGTACATCATTAAAATTGCGCTTCCAGCACCAATGCCATAAAGAGCCTTCCCTCTTGCTTTTTATATTAAATTTGGGGCGTAATATTTTGGACTCACTTTTTCGGGGAACAAAAAAGTTTGACACACCGTAATAAAACACGGACCACCCTTAAGAAACCCACTATGTTCTTTATTTAGCCTTGTATATACGTGGGCGCGAGACCAGTACCGGACTGAAGGGTCGCGCGACCTAAAACGAATTGTTGATTGCAAGTAGGGAAACAAAAGAGGAATAGTTAGGGGTCTTCCTCCATCGAGAGTGAAGCTGAGTACTGCAATTCGGCGTAACAATGAATGCGTTAATAATTACGTAACAGAGTGCGCTGTTAATGGTGTAACGCCCGACGTTGAAAGAGAAAGTAAGGCGTGTTTCTTGGAACCGTATTGAATGGAAAGAATTCTATAACCGATTACATTGTTCAATGACGATCATTTGTGGCGATACTCTCAGTCAATAGACCTAAGACGTAATGACGTAACGCTTTGTTTGAAAGTGCGCTTTCCTATGAGAGCTGGCTCTCATAGGAAAGCGCACAGGTAAACAAAGCGTGACGTCATTACGTCTCAGGACCATTGAGGGCACTATTTAAGTGTAACGGTCAAGCCTACGCAGGTTTAGTTTGGGGGTTAAACGTACGAAAAGTAGTTCGAACTTAATTATCGTTTTGGCGACGTAGCTGCTGTTAATTACGTGTGTTCATAATACGATTACAGAAAAAGGTTGTGTGATTACTTTTAGGGCGCTATCCAAGTTTAACGGTTAAGCCTACGCGCAGTTTGTTTTGGGAGTTAAACGTGCCAAAAGTAGTTCGCGCATAATTTGCTGTTTTGGTAACGTAGTTCGCCAAAACAGCTCGTGTTGAAAATACGTGTGTTTTATATAGGACAGTTAAAAACCCAGAACCTCAATAACCAAATGGTAACAAATGGGGATTGTGTAATATAATTATTAGAATCAAGCATTAATGGCTCTGTGATATTTGAAGTGATTGAAAATTAATATATCGATTTACGCGAAGTAAACGGTATAACAACCAGTGGAATTCCAGAGAGGACGCCTCTCATTATGTGTCTATATGAGTGAAGACCTACAAATCGACTTCCGTAGACCTCAATGATAATTACGAGTTTGGCCGTAAATTCTTTTAAAAAAAAAGTACTCACAACTCTCAGAGGTGTTTGAGACACCATTTAAATCAAAGCTTATTTTATTATCTTTTATTTTCTGTTAAATTTTTGTTCAATTATCCAATGACTAATGGGAGAAAAAATTCCATCAAAGAATGTCAGCCCGATAAGCAGTCCAATGGCCCATCGCCATTTTGAAAAATGATGCCTGCGCTTTATTGCAAAGAGCAATATTAGGACCCAATTTCATGCAAATTGGACCGCATATTGTGTCATGGATGCCACTAAACCAAACTCATGATAAAATTGTATGATGTATATACGATTACGTATGTGTGCATTGTACAACAGACATGTGAACACGGTCGAGGAATCCATAAGAAAACACAGCTTGTTTTATAGGCATGGGCCCTGTATTTAAAACGATAATGTTCCGACACCAATGACAATCAAGCAAATGGCCTTGTGGTTAGGCTCGTCGTCCACAGACCCGGGGTCCGGGGTTCGAGTCCTGTTGGTGTAATTTTTGGTTTTCAATACACGCGCTCAGTCATTTACTTTAAGAGTCTTAATTTCCCGTCGTCAAATACCAACCGACCTTAGCTTAATCAGTTAAGTAGCCGGCTGGGACTGTCTGCGAAGTCCAGGTTATGCATCTACTCATAGGTACGGGGCTCTTTTGCTGTCTCGGCAGCAAGGCATAGGGTGTCGCCTCGTTTCCTCCCTTAACGGTGCTTGGCCCTCCGGGGTTACATGGATGGACAGGGAAGGAGGTGTGGTGGGCCGGGGAATCCGAGACCCAGGAAGAGTACTATATGGGAGTCGGTAACCAATCGCGACCCCTGAATGCTTGGTCAACACCACATAACTTTTTGTTTTTCTTTTGCCCCTTATTTTGTCCTTTATTGTCGAGAATTTATAAGGTACAGTAAAAACGCTCTAATAGCAAAGAATTTAAGCATACAAATTGTGATTTGGCCGGCATGTTATACATTTAATGTGTGTCATGGATGCCACTAAACTATAAACTCATGGTGGTAAAATCATGATAAAAATTTGCCCAGATTTAAAAACATGTGCAAAATGAAACGCCTTTTCAGAGGGTTACAGACGCCGTAAATTGGAA